CGTCCTTTTATAGGCCAAAATTGAGAACTATTGATTTAATAGTTCTTTTTTTAACCTATTTTGTTTCTTTACTAGCATCTTCATTCTCCTTCTCCTCAAATTCATCTTTATCTCCTTAGTCTAGAACATCATGGTTAGTTTCTTCAATAATTTTACCCCAATTCCACTTCTCATCTTCCTTAAACACAATATCTCTACTAACACGACTAAAAGATTGATGTTTTCTCCCAAGTGCAGGAGTGTCGAAGTAATAAATAACCCAGCAAGACCGGGGTCGAACCACAGGGAGGTTAATTGTACAAATTATAAATAAACTCTTATTATTGAATTGGAAACCACACACAAAGGAGGTTCCAATCATATTATATATTGTTAACATGATTACATTAGTCATCTTATTCAATTAATGCTAATACTTGTAAATCTCGTCAAGCATTCATGATTATAACTTATGTTAACAACAAATCAAGTTCCTTTCATAGCTCAGGTGTCGGTTATACCATACATTATGGGCTATGAAAGTGCCAAGCATTTGTTGTACCAAGTGTTATACAACATAAATCAAGATTAGTTATTTAACAAGCAAAGTATTAAAGAGTGAACAAGATAGCAAATATAAAACATGTTAGTATCAAACATTAAGGTCCATATTAAGTTTACATTATACTTATTCTTACACCATTAGTGTAACCTTTTCACCTTGACATAATTAACTTAGCTAGACATAATGAAAGAAAGAAAAATAAATAAACAAAATATGAACATAAATAAGATAAGAGTTAACTAAGTAAAGGAAAGGAAATGAAAGGCATAAACTTAATATTAATGAAAGCAAAGCATAAACATTACAAAAAATACAAAGAGAGAAAGGAAGAGCATGATCTTGATCTGGAAACCAAGATGCCTAAATGCATGGCAAATGCCTCCTTTTATAGGCCAAAATTGGGTACTATTGATTTGATGACTAATTGATGAGTGGGTGGCCAACTCTTGACTTGGTGACAATCCTTATCTTCTCTTGTCTGCCCAAAACGTCATTGATAACGTCAAAATTGGAGCCACTCGAAAACATAAAAGCTGTAGGCCATTATCTCACCTATCTTGTGTAAAAACTTCAGCTTATTTGGACTTCTAGAACTCCTGATATGGCCAAAATACTAAACAGTGCTCGGGTTGAAAGACAGATTCGGGCTTCTTTGTTGTTGCAATAATTTGGACTTGAAAATGACCTTTTTAGATCTTGGGCTCCATATGAAAGTTGTAGGCCTATGTCTTACCTTTCCATCCATATAAAGTAGACCTAAATCTGAGATCTATACCTCCAGGTATGATCCAATTACCGAACAGTGTTTCGGTTTGGATTGCACCGACATCTCTTTTCTAATTTTGGTCATCTCTTTGCCCTTGCAATTTAAGTTGTTAAAGTCATCAATCAATCCTTTCATTTATGTGATAGGCTTGCATTTAAAATGAACATTTATCATAAATTAAAGGTAACTTATATTATTAGATATATTATTATAAAACATGCTTTAGTTAAGGAGTCATTAATACTTCAAGTGCAAAATGATGATATAAAACCATGATAAAAATGCACTTTTAAGTATTAATCATGTAGTTATAATAAATTTCTTTGACATAAGGTCATACAATCTATAAGCTTTAGATTCTTCACTTAAGCTTAAGAGAACACATCTGAAACTCTTGTCATCAAGTTTTTGCTTTTTGTTATTAGGAATATGTACATGATCAATGCAACCAAACACCCTAAAATGATCAACAAAAGGTAAAACCACACTATACTTCGTCTGGAATCATATCCTTCACTGCTAGTGTAGGACATCGATTAAGCATATGAATTGTCCGATTAACAGCTTCAGGGTATAATTCTTTAAGAACTTGTTTCTATGACAACATGCAATTTACTATATTCATTATTGTTCGGTTCTTATGCTCTACAACCCTATTTTGTTGTGGGGTGTAGGCTATAGTAAGTTGCCTATTAATTCTATTCAAGTTGCAAAACTTGTTAAATTCTAGTAAAGTGACCTCTCCATCTCTGTTAGTACAAAAGACAACATATAAATTTCGTAGTTTCTTTCTCTACTAAACTTTTGATTTTTTAAACATAACAAAAGCTTCTATCTTGGCATTTAATAAATAAGTTCTTAATTTTCTATTATAATTATCTATAAAGGTTATTAGATACCTTTTTTAACTATTGGACTTGGGTGTGATAGGACCGTAAATATAAGCATACATAATTGGAGTCTCTAAGAAGCTCTCCATAAGCTTTTATTTGGGATGGATTCTCGATGTTGTTTGCCTATTATGCAATTAGTGCATAGTTTCAAAAAAACTTTGAGAGGAGGTAGACCCTTTACTATTTTCTTATAGAATAAGGTTCTAAAACTTTTGAAATTAAGATTGTCAAACCTTTAATGCAATAAGTGAGTGTTGTCTTCAGATGCAGTTTGAAAGCATGCAGGGGCTGAAGCTTGATCTTGTACTAGCATCAAAGCCAAAAGAACAAACATCTTATTAGTAGACATTGGAGTCTCCATGATCAATTCTCTTTTAAGATGATATATCTTGCACACTCCATGCTAAATAAGAATGGCTAAGTTTCTTTCTTGTAATTGACCAATACTTAAAAAATTATTTTTAAGCATAGGAATATAAAACACTTCACTTATTATCTAATTTGCTCTATTGACTTGCAATTGAATGTTTTTTTCCCCATCATTGTTATCTTTGAACTGTTACCAAGCTTCATCACTTGTCTAAATGTCTCATCTAGGTTAAGAAACCATTACTTATTACCACTCATGTGATTGTTACAGCCAAAGTCAAGCAACCATACTTGCTCTCTTTTGGAATTGTGGAGTTCTAAATAAGCCATCAATAAGTTAACAACATCTCTTGTTGTTTATCAAGCTTAGCATAATTATCACCTTTTTTCCCAACTAGGAAACTTGTATTGGAAATGTCATGGTTTGTGGCATTTATAGCACTCTATAGTTGTCTTGTGGAATGGTTGCCTTCCTTTACCGCTTCCTCAATCTCGTGGTACATCTTGGTCTTTTCCTCTTCCTTTAAATTTTTCTTTATAAGAAATCTTCAAAGCCTTCTCATCTCTTTCACCATGATTGTTCATTCTTTGCTCATGAACTAATAAGCTTCTTTATAACTCATTAATTGTTAACACATCCAAATCATTGGACTCCTTCACTAGACATACAACATAATCAAATCTTGAGGTCATTGATCTCAAGATCTTTTTGATGATCATAACTCGCTCAATCTTTTCTCCATGAGCTTTCATCTTGTTTGTTGTCCAAGCAAAATACTCATTCACTTTCTCTCCTTCTCTCAATTGAAGAACTTTAAATTCCTTTCGTAATGCCTACAACTGAGCCCTCTTCACTCTTGTTGTCCCTTCATACTTCTACATCATCGAATCCTGTATGCCTTTCGAACTCTTCTTATCAAGAATTGTTTTCATGATGGTTTGATCTATGGCCTATGAAAGGTAAATTTTCACCTTTAAGTCTTTTAGTCGTTGCTCTTCATTTGTTTTCCTTTGTGCCTCTGTTGGCTCAGCTCCATCTGTTATTGTGACAATCCATGTCTCCATCAAGGGCAATATTCCTTTAATCGGAGATAATTCTCCATAAGCATAGCCCAATGGTCATAGTGACCATTAAAGTTAGGTGTTATAGGTTGTACAAAGTTGCCTCCTTTAGTTGCCATCTTTCTTTCACTAGTTTGCACGTTTTGTTTTCTCTCAAGTTTTTTTTCTTGTTAGTAAATTGCATTACCTAACTACACTCAACCAGGCTTGTTTGAGGAGACTCTAATACCACTTTATTAGAAACTTGAAGCTATAAACATAAAATCTTATTTATTGATCAATGAAACTATAGCATTATGGTAGCTTTACTAAACAGTCAAAATAATAATTTTAACAGAGTCTCAAAGATATGATGAATTTGTTACAGAATAATTCAAAGTTTAAACTAAACTCTTCTAACCAGGGATTTATTAACAGAATAGTAACAAATATTATGTTAAATATGATAAGTATTATTGACTTAGTCACCAAGAGACCTCCATCTCGAACAGTTATGTCGTTGGCGCCGAGGTAGAGAGAGATGGCACCGTGTGTGTTTGTGATGAAAGAAAAGAAGAAAAAAATGGGTTGTTATTTTCAACCTTGTGAGCTGTGGAGGTGTTGCTCTGTGAGGCTACTACGGTTCAATTGGAAAATAGAAGTGAAGTTTTTTTTTCTAGTCCCGTTGAAATCTCCCCTTTGTATTTTCTCCTTCTATTTTCTAGCCAGCGCACATAATGCAGTGGCAGGGGGGGGGGGGGGGGGGGGGGGGGGGGGGGGGGGGGGGGGGGGGGGGGGGGCGGGGGGGGGGGGGGCCCTGCCACTAAATGCACTGCACTTAATGCATGCATTTAATGTGCTGGTTGAATTTAGTGCAGTGCATTCACTGCGTCTTGTCTCGTC